CGACAACAATGAGTCGTGCCACTCCCGGCTCTTCTCATGGCTGACGGCTGCAGGGCGGCGGACGGATATGATGAAGCGTTTCAGGCTGGAGTTGGGAAAATCGCCGGCGGTGGAGGCAGAGCTGGTGCTGTGGAGGAGAAAGATGAGAACTTTGAGAAGAAAAAGGAAAGAGAAGCTGGAGAGCTTCTGCGGCGACATTGTGGATGGTGGCCGGCGGCGGATTCGGGCGGAGAAGCGGAGCTTGAAATGAGGTAGGATTTATAGTGGTGAGAAAAAATGTGTAACGGTTGAAGAAGTGAGAATTGATTTGTTGGTTCCGAGAGATTTGGAACTGGTTCTGTTGGTGAATGCTCTTATTATTGTATGATGAGGGAGAAGAAAGAGGGAGAAAAGGAGGAGGAGGAGGAGGTACAGGTTGTTGTCTCTCTTATGTTGCTTCTCTGTGGTGGAGGAAACCATTACCTCGTAATGAAGAGGTGAAAATAGTATGTTGTGGAGGCTGTTTGAACGGCTACGCGGTATATATATTTATTTGAAAAATTATAATTTAAAATTTAGTTTTGGGTGAAATAACCTTAAGGGTGCATTTGGGGCGGCTTATGCGTTTCAGAATAAGCAGCTTATCCTGAAACGCGGCCCACGGGTCGACTGCGGGGTTTAGTGTAAAAATTTAACCACGTTTTCGGATATAGGGGCAAAACACGCGATCCAAACGGTACCGCGTCGTTTTTCAAAATACCCCCACACTTATAAGCTGCCCCAAACAGGCCCTTAGTGTTTGGGGGCACCTTTATTTTAGGTTAAGTAGGATTTATCAAATCTATTAAAAGTTTAGATTTGGAGATCGCTCAGATAATAGAGTTAATTTTTAAATCCAACTTAGTAAATTCATATTTTGGACGAACAATCCTTATTTTGGGACGAAACACAAAAATTTAAGACAAAAATAACAGTGTTGGAAGTAATTTGTATATTTTTTATGTTTGGCTGGATTTAACTTGAATCCATGCTTAAATTGAGTTTAAATAATGCTACCAAATACTACTTAAAGAGTTTGGAACAGTTATTGTTGTTTGAAGAAACAGTTAAAGCTATTGCATAAGAAATTGTTATTTAAAAAGTTGTAGTGACTATTATAAATCTATTTTATTTTCAAAATGTCAGACTGTAACTTTTGGACAACCACAGTTAGTTAAATTAAGCTGCAAAATGAAACCTCACACTATAGTTTTTTTTGAAAAAACAGACAATACATGGTTTTGTCTAGTTCTTGAAAGTGCGATGCGAAATCACATCATTGACTCAAATGGAGCCCGAGTAACAATCTCTTTTTTATTCATATATTGTTTATTAAACTCATAGCTTAGTCAAAATTGTTCAAATTAGTTAAAATTCAATTTGATTGGAGTTCATTTAAATTTGGGGGGGGGGGGGGGGGGGGGGAAAAATTTTTTTTGTTAAAAAC